GACTTTATCTGTTATGATTTTTGAATTCACCAGATTTATGACATTAAAAAGTCTGTTAACTGAGTCCTGAATATTACATAGCTAATAAAGTGAGACTTCTTTGGAAACATCATTGTCATGGATAACATGACATTCCATATATGCAAATTTGACCATTTCACCCAAAAATTGAATCAAAATTTTAGGACAGGGAATGAATGGTTTGGAAAATTGAGAGGTGTAAAAAATGGAAACATGGCAATTGGTTGACACGCAACTGACCAAGGTGTTGGGCATGCACATTGGGTACAATAACGTACATTCCTAGAAGTAAAGATACATCCCCCTCCTCAAAATTGCAGTGCCAGGAACCACAGCATATTTGACAATAACTATTCTTGCTTCTGACTGTAAAGTAAAACCCTGCAAAGGTTAATCAATACCTCTCATATATAAGGAGCACATTTCAATAATCAATCAGATCAGCTGTTCTTAAGCTGTGTTATTCCCAACTTATTCATTTACTCCTGCAAGTTGCAAGTCAAACTCATTGAGTTGTTAATCAGTTGAGTGTATATTTGAAATATATCTTACCCTTAAACTAGGAATTCCGTAATGGAATCCTGGTCCAGTCCCGTACTGAGTAACGCATTTTTATTCCATTTTGACCCTTGACACTAAATTATATTGTTGGACAATCCATCCTCAATACAAGGGATTCTAGTCCCAAGAAAAGCGCAAGCTCTCTGTTTTCATCAAAAAAAGTCAAGAATGGAATCTTCACAATAAAATCCACAGAAAATACAAGAATTCAATGCGCAAATGTTCTTATACTCCATGTCCAGTTGCCACAAACTTTTTGCGAAGTAGTAGTGGTTGTCAAGGTTTCTTCCAAGGGTTCATATACCCAGGTCAGTTAATTGGGTTGGGTTTTTCCAGCAATGATTGCTTCTTGGTAACCAGGCAGAAAAGTAAATCAGAACCTTGAGTTCTCAGGTTAGACTTTCCAGCCCTTCATCATCACGCAACATCTGGGTTGGTCAGTTAATTGGGTTGGGTTTTTCCAGCAATGATTGCTTCTTGGTAACCAGGCAGAAAAGTAAATCAGAACCTTGAGTTCTCAGGTTAGACTTTCCAGCCCTTCATCATCACGCAACATCTGGGTTTTCTTTCCCACAAAAAAAGGGGTGTAATTTTGTAGAGGCAGGGAGGGTTCTGTCAAAGTCAAGTTTCAAAAACTGAATCTCAAGCTAACCTCCTGGAGCAGCATTTCTGATGTTTGGATGGTGGGAGAGGATGAGGGAGAGTAACTCCTGTCTTCTTGTTGCCAAAACAGTTTTTTTCTGTCAAGTTTTATGACCCCATTTTCAACCTTATTTCCCCCTGTGATGGCAAATTTATGGCCATCACCGCTTTTGGCAGTTGGCTCTCAAGCATGTGTATAAACAACGTTTTCTGTGCTTCTTTGGGTTCTCGTGTTTCTTTCTGATCCCCTCCTTTTTTTCTTACATTCCATGAGTTCTGACTTTTCAGGGAAGCCTTCATATTCTGTTTTGGAAACTTCCAAAATTCCTTGAAACACAGTGTATTGAATGGTGTATATCTCCCAGCAGTGCCATAATTTTCAATAATTTCGAAAATTCAACCTCAACCCAAGGAAAGTCACACATTTTAGGAGCCTTCATCAGAAAAGGAAATTATTTTCATAATGTTTGCCTTATCGTATTTTGAAAAACATTTCAAAAGGTTGAAATCAAAATTTGCCGGAGCCTTTGAATGGAAAATTTAGGAGATCTGGGGAAGCTGATTATTCAACTTTCCATGTGCTTTTGTGTAGCTAAAATTATTCACAATGCCATTCGTTTTTTCTTTTCTTCTGTCACACTCCCCATCAATATTATAATAAGTCTTTGCACAAGACTTTTAGCGTTTGAAATATTTACATTTTTGAACTTTTTCTTTTTCGGACTTGAAATTTTCCCTACTAATGCTTCAAAAACTTCGTGAAGTTTCGGTATAGTTCAGGGAAAATTATGGACATGGTTCAGCTCAACTCTCTCAGACGAATTTTCAATGCTGCTGGGAGAAAATTTAGTTGACCCGCGACCCTGTAAGGAATGGAAAAGAATACCATAATCAACTTTGAAATCACGCTGTTAATTGTGAGGGGTAATGAATGTCCACTATGAAATCGCATATTGCTGAATCAAAAAAAAAACTTTACGAATATCCGGGCTGAAGAAATGATCCGAATGCTGATCGCTTGAGACGATATCTGTTCATTTAAACTGCTGAACTTCCGCTTGAGAAAAAAAGAAAATACATTGTTTCGATCACGAAACCCCGTCTAATTTACATGTATGTATATAAAAAAATGCGATTTTATTTATTTCTTCCTCAGGTATTTACGATGGGGTTTCAAACGAGTGGACAATTTTCGGCGACAAGGCGACGAATGATTCTGCCTTGAAGCTCACCTTGCCGTTGGTAGCTGGTCCATAGGAAACGAACGTCACATCATTTACTTGATTCATTCTCAATTTGTTTGAAATTTCTTCTTTTTTTCAAAAGTGAATTTTTTTGCGCATGAACGCTGTCATCCTTCGATTGCAGAGCAGAACGCTTGAAAATCCTGGTTTACAACTAAGTGACTGCTGCTGATGGCATTTCCTTCGATCCTAAAATGAACAAAGCTGACGGATGATACAATTTTAACAAAATTCCATTCAACGCTAAAAAAATAATGCGTGCCGAATGATCGGGGGTGATATTACCGAAATTTGGATGTCTTGAACAGCAGAAAATGTTTAAAATGCCCTCCTTAACTTATTTTTTCAATTACTGATGTTCATTGATTTCTTCTCTGAGGATTAGAAAAAGTTTACATGACTGTAGGTATTTTTTTAGACTCATGAAGTTCATTTTGCTCATAATTTAAAATGAATTCACTGCATATTAATCAAAATTCGAGATTAACTCGAAGTAATAATAAAATGGGTAAACTTTAAAAAAAAGTGTACTGCTTTGTTTTCAATGATTGACTGAAAACTGTTGCACGGTTAATAATTCAACCACGGATAATCAAAGCTCATCAGTATTTTTTGTCCCATTCCGACGATTGATGTTTGAGTATGTGCCAAATTTCTCTTCGATATTATTTTAAGCAAGCCGAACCCAATTTTTTCTTTTGGGGAATTCTTCGTCAATTTAGAATCTTTTTCAAAGTGTGTCGGGCATGAATTATGAGTGTCGAGTCAGCAGAGTCGAGGATGAAAAAATTTCATCCGAGACCGATGTTTAAAAACGTGACTGCTGGAGAAATGCTTCATGGAAAGCCACGTTTTTGCTGTGTGAATGCATCATCAATTGATTATGGAAAAGCATTTCAGTTTGAAGAAGAATGCCAATAAACGACTCAAGTGTTTTTGTGAGCAAAAGACATAGCGTCGCATTTTTTTCAAGGCTCGATGATCAATGCATTAAAATATGAAACGGATTTCTGCTTCGATTTTACCGAGAAAACCCCGTGCATCAACTCCAAATACTTGTAATACCTCGAAAATAAAAATAATGTGTAGAGGATTATTTCCTTTATAACTTTAAATGACAGGTAGTTCGCAAGAATTCCTATTTTACATAAATCATGACTCGATTTTTAATTACAGTTATAGCGTGTAAATGATGAGTTGTAAATGGAAATGATGCGATATGCGGAGAGTAGAATGTTTTCCGAATTTCTCACACTATTTATTTGAATATGAGTTTCGTTGAATTTTCATCTGGAATATTTCACAAGAAAAGCTTCTTTAAAAACGTAACTATTTTCATCTCTCGAATCAAACATGAATTTATGTGATTTTTTCCCCCCAAATCATCTCAGCTGGTGAGCTAAAATATTTATTCTCTCCACGTCAACCAAAGGGAAGCCTCATACAATGCGATGAATTATTAGTTTCAGAGTCCTTTATGATGTGAAACACGTATCAACTGAATGACAAAAGGGTTCACAGAATGACTCAAATCTAATTACTTGAACAAAAACACGTTCACGTGGAATACATACATTATGAAATGACTGCAAAAAAAAAACAGACACGAGAAAAATTATTTTCAGTGTCGTAATGCAAGAATATATGTATAGAAAAAAACTCTAACTTTGAAATTCACGCTGAAAGACAAAATTTCCCCGGAGATTTCGAGCTTTGCTTTCATCAAGTATTTTATCCGAAGAAAGGTCTGAATTTTTTCGAAAAATTAATTAAGGCGAAGTGTTCATTACCCGGAGTGTCACTGAATTCTTTTTATTTTTCAATCCAAAAAGAGTTTATCGTCAGGCTTTGAAACACTGCCATCAATAATAAGGCTCCAGCAAGCGATGATTCGCAAAAACGACAAGTGACACATTCGTGCGTCACTGTCGACACATTGAAGTCATGCTCATCGTCATCGAGTTTACTAAAAAAATACGCATTTATAAATACTTGTCGAAAATTCTACAATGAAAAAAAAGTATGTACACTGTGAACGTGGCGACTTTGAGTCGGTTGCAATGCATTTTCTCCTTATCACCAAAAACGTCAGCGTCTGGCTCGTGTCGAAAACCCTGTCATGCCCAAGGCGCCAATAATATTCTTCTTATAAAAACGTATTTTATTTTTATGTGCATACGCAGAAATATTTTTCCTTCTTCGTCCAGCTTTTCCCCTCCATTGGCTCAAAGACTTATTATTGCGACGACATGGGTTCGAAGCGGGTACGGAAAAAAAGAAATAGGGGGTTCGACGGAATGGGAACCCGTCGTCGTCGTCGGGATTATCTTCGGGCACCAGACGCATCGATAGCAAGGCGCGTGTGTACCCGTCTTGAAAGCTGGACTCGGATATATGGGTTCAATTTTGCGATACACCCAATTCGAAGAATTGCGGACGCTTTTTCTTTCTTGGAGGTTAAATGAATGACTGGTCAATCCTATTTGACCGATCAGGAAGTTCGACGTTGAGCCGTGAAATTGATTTTCCGGATGATTGTTATCGTGTTTTGGCGCTATCGGAAAAAAAAAACGGGGGTCAAAATAGATCGTCTGAAAAAGTGAAAGGTCTTTGGAATACTTTTGGAAAGGAGAAAAATCCAAATCCCCTTCAGGAATTTTGTTTTCGTGTGCCCAGAGCGATTAGCTGTACAGGAAATCAAAGCTAGTCATACCACATGTGACAGAAGTAATTTTTCGCATTCATTTTCTAGTTCTAAGTGAATTCAGATGTACAATACTGTATATGGTAGAATCAGGTTTTCAAAAATCTCAATCTCACAGATTATTGCTTACAAAAAATACATTTTATTTTGTAGGTCCCTCCCCAAATTCCACTTCATAACAGGTCTCTCTATACAACAAACCTGAATGGCCTGAGAACAGATTTCTCGAAGAGAGAATTTTGTTGTAAAAAAAACCCCGAAAACATGTGGAAAGAATCCAATATGGAAATAAAACAAATGTGTTATACAGTACCATATGTTGCAGAAGTAATTTTTCTCTTTTTTTCTTTTCTAGTTCTAAGCGAATTCAGATGTACAATACTGTATATCGTAGATTCAGGTTTTCAAAAATCTCAATCTCGCAGATTATTGCTTACAAAAAATACATTTCATTTTGTATAGATCCGTCCCCGAAGTCCACTTCATAACAAGTCTCTTTATACAACAAACCTGAATGGCCCTGAGAACAAAATATTTGAAAAAATAATTTTGTTGTAAAAACCCCTAAAACATGTGGAAAGAATCCTATATGGAACTAAAGCAACTTTGTTATACAGTAGAGATATAGTATTTACAGACAAAATCATCATTGTTGAGAGTGTACAACTCTATTTGAATTTCCTCATGCCATTTTTTTGTAACAAAGCTTTTTTCCTGTTTTCAGCGGATTTTTTAAATGAATTAATTTACTGCGAAAGATTTATACAGTATTACCCATTTTTGGAGTCTATTTAATGCTCCATTGTTCTTCAATTCTCTCTAAAAATATTTTGCAGAATTTCATCTCATCATTTGGTTGCAGCATACAACATTTCAAAAGTGTGACACAGACTGATGAATCCATTTTACCAACTTTCTAAAACTTGTTCATCAGCAGTTGGCCTTAAGCAATACTTGAAGCGGCATTTTTTTCAATGATCGGCCAAAAAGTGGGAGCCAAAAATGGCGCAGTGTCTATTATGAAGCGCCGAAATTCAGTAGAGGGGAGGCTGTTCATAATTAAGTCCACTGATAGTTTTTTAGGGTTTTCATGTCTCATCAATTTCTGAACTCAATTTTAAAACAATTAGCAATGGGTTTCCCTCTCCATTGCCTTCAGCCAATATTGAAAAAGAAATTATCCTTACCCTCGAATTTCAGTGCATCAAAACCACGCAAAACAAATTTGAAGAATGCGCGTTTCTAGTCTTCAAATCGTTGAAAAAAAAAAACACGGAGAAAAAGTCAACTTCACGGAAAGTGTGCGGACACCAGTTGTGAAATATTTTTTTCATGTGCAGTAGAAGCATGAAATGGCTCTTTTCAAATTGAAATTTAGAAAATATTCTTCGGTTGAAACAGCATCCTGATATAAATAATAATACCTCATCATTATTTCCCCCCTCCACGCCGAATTTCTTTCATGCAATGAAATTTTCATCCTGCTTTGATTTAAAAAAAAAGCACCATTTGTCTGGTTTAATTTCGAAAGGATACTGAGGCAATTTGAGACTTCAAAAATTAGTCAGAAAAAGACTGGGTATCGGGTTTTTTTTTTTTATTGAAGAGCATAGCAAATTTGGGTCCTGCTGTGCCGAAATAATGCCCCCGCTCCCAGCTTGGCTTTTACTGTTCAATGGGAAGTGAAAACAGTCCGTCCCGCCGTCTTCTCCGATTTCCATTCCCTTGGGTTATTGGGGAGCCCCTGAGTAACTTCAGGTTGGGAGTTGCATCTGTTCGTTAATTTGTATTCCAACTAGTTGACAGTGTAGGTTTTATGGGGCTGTTATATTGCAATCTGCATTTGAAGAACGGCAAACAAAGGGACATTTCACAAGTTCAGATATGAGAGGATTGATTTCTGACCATATTGTTCAAAATAAAAAAGAGTAAACCGAGCGCAAAATTATAATTTTATGTATGCGAGCTATTTTTACTTTCTTT